CGAGCTCAGGGCCGCAGAGAGTCGGAATAACCTTAAGAATGGCGGAGCAGTTTGAGTCTTCATCACACAGCTGTTTGGCCATTAGGCAGTTCAGCGTTTTGTGTTCCTTCTGCTCCATAGAACCACCTGTAAATGGAGGGAGAGAAAAAAGGTATGTGTTAATGGGTGGTTTACGGCAAATGTTTTATTTATTTTTTTATTTTTTTATTTTCTTATTTTTAGGGGGGGGGGGGATGGAAGGGAAAAAAAGGTATGTGTTAATGGGTGGTTTACGGTAAATGCTTTTTTTTGGGGGGCGGGGTAGGTTAGGTTAGGTTGGGTTAGGTCGGGTCGCACTTAACACACGCGGGAAAAAAAGAAAGAAAAAAAAAAAAAACCTGTTGGGTATTATGTTAAAAATAAATGAAGGGAAGAGACAGAGGATAAGAGGAAAAAAGGAAGAGTAGGAAGGAGAAAAAAGTTAATGTCTCACTTTAGTTTTTCTTTCCTTTTATTTATTTATCTGTACGTTTTTTTTTCCTTTTTTATATAATCCTTTTACCTCCATTTCACGTTTTTTTCTAAAATGTTTACTGTGTTTTTCTAAACTGTTTACTGCTTTTTCTCTCTCGCTCTCTTTATTTTTTTTTCTCTCCTTCATTCCTCCCCCTCCCTACCTCCCTATCCCCACCTCTCCCCTTTTACCCTAGCCTTCCCTCCCTCCCCCTTTCTCCCCCATCACTCTACCTCCTCTCATCATCCCCCACCTCCCTTCCTCCCTCCCTAACCCCCCCCCCCTGCCTCTTCCATCTCCCTCCCCCTCCCCCTCCGACTATCCTCCTTTCTCCCTTCCTTTTTCACCCCCATCTTCCCATTAACCCCACCCCCTTACCTCCCCATCCCTCTCCCCCACTCTCCTTTTTCTCCCCCTCTTACCACCTCTTTCCCCTTTATTCCTTTGCCTCTTCCCCCTTTCCCCCTCATCGCCCCTCTCTCCCTCCCCCCCTCCCCTATCACCCCTTTTTCTCTCCCCCTCTCCCCCTCTTTCCCTTCTCCCGCCCCCTCCATCCCCCATCCCCACTCCCCCCTCTCTCACTCCCCCCTTCCTCCCCCTCCCCCTCCCCCCTCTCTCCCATCCTCCTCCCTCCCTTCCCCCTTCTCCCCTCCCCCTCCCTCCCTTCCCCCTTCTCCCCTCCCCCTCTCCCCCTTCCTCCCCCGTCATCCCCCCCCTCCCCCTCTGCGCCCGTGTCTCTCTCATGTTATTTCTGCGGGTGATCAGGACCTCGCATGCCATCTGCCGGGAAAGGGATCGCGGGCTAATATCGACGCCAGTCACGGAAGCCAGCGATGGGATTTTTCCTCTGACCGAAACCATTTTTTTTTTTTTTTTTTTTTTTTTTTTTTTTTTTGGTATAAGAGTCTTTCGTGTTTTTTTTTTTTTTTTTTTTTTTTTTTTTTTTTTGGGGGGGGGGGTCTTTTTCTATAATCGTTTATTTTTTTTTTTTTAAAGTATTACAAGTATTTTTTTTTCTTTTTACGTGTTTCTTTGTCTCTGTCTGTCTGTCTTTGTCTCTGTCTCTGTCTCTTTCTCTCTCTCTCTCTTTCATTTTATCTCTCTCTCTCTCATTAATATACTATTGTTATAAATATACTTTTGTTACTACTAGCACTACTATTGTTACTATTACTATTATTACTGCTACTACAACTACTGTTGCTGCTTTTATTATTATCATCATCATCATCATCATCATCATCATCATCATCATCATCATCATCATCATCATCATCATCATCATCATCATCATCATCATCATTATTGTTGTTGTTGCTGTTATTATTATCATTATTATTATCACTATTATTATTATTATCACTATTATTATTATTATTATTATTATTATTATTATTATTATTGTTATTATTATCATTATTATTATCATCATCATCATCTTCTTTATCATTATTTTTCCTATTGTTGTGGTTCACTATGATAATTTATTTAAATGACCATTACATAAACATAATTTAACTTAATATAGTTTAACCTAATCTAACCCAACTTAATTTAACTCAACTATATTAACTTAACCTAACTTGATTTAACTTAACTCAACTCAATTCAACTCAACATACCTTAACCTAACTTAAATTAACTGATTTCAACTCAACATACCTTAACCTAACTCAACTTAACTGATTTCAACACAACATACCTTAACCTAACTTAAATTAACTCATTTGAACTCAACTTAACTCACCTTTACCTGACTTCATTAAACTAACTTAACTTTGCACAACTTAACTCACCTTCAACTTTAACTGAACTCGACTTCACCTCCCCCCCCCCCCCTTAACCTAACACACAGACGCTACGTCATCTCACCCACAACAACAACGAGCGGAAAGGTCAAAAGGTCATATCATTTTCATGAGACTCAGTGACCTGATCACCTCTTGGCCCAAGGTTGGTATCGTGTCAGCTTAGGTCGCAGTGGTATTGATGCTTTTCTTTAATGTT